GGGGGGGGGGGGGGGGGGGGGGGGGGGGGGGGGGGGGGGGGGGGGGGGGGGGGGGGGGGGGGGGGGGGGGGGGGGAGGCGACGGGGGAGGAACCGGCGGGATGGGGGAACTTACCTCCTCCTGCTGCTTCCTCCTCTGCCTCCTGTGTGGAGGTCCCTCCCCCCCGCGAGTATTGCAGGTCCCGCCGCTTGTGATATATAATTATCTATCTGGACCTTCTGGGACTTTTGTATACATTTTTCTGTGTTACTCAGAGGATGGGGGAAATCTGTGTATGTTAAAGGCATATGGATCACCTTCCTCTGTTGCAATGAATGAAGAGGCTCCAGTACGCAACTTACCTGAAGCAAATAACAATGCCCTCAAGGCCAGTCCTTTGCCAACCCACACTACTGAAGCCTCCTCACAACACACAAGTAAGCCCAACCTGGACCATTTTTTGTGCTGCTTTGCAAGGGTAGTGAAACTATGTTTGGTAGCAATATCACCTTAATTACTAGGAAAAACTTTAGTGATGGGGGGGCAGAATCGTACTACTCCCTTCATAGTAGTCTCTGTTGCATTATTTGAAAAGATGATAATCTGAATAATTGTTGGAGGTAAGGACCATGTCAAATTAATTAGTTCATCAAATTAAACAGTGACTCCCCAGGACCATTTTAGGTAGGGGAAATGGTAGGGGGAAAGCCTTAAGCTCAGTTTATGGAACTCCCACTGTCTCATCTGGTCTGACCCTTAGAAAAATGTGTGCCAGCAGCCGAAGTCAGTTATTTCCTCCCGCCCCATGCTGAACAGATGATTAGCTAGGCAGGCACAAGTAGCTGGATTTTCTTTTCCTCCTAACAGGTGATCATCAATAACTCCAGGTTTCCACAAAGAAAAGTTTGAACTCTCTAAACCCTGTAGGAGAGATCTGTCTGCTGAGATGTGTTTTGAATTGTGACGTGCCCAACTAAACTGTGGGAGAACTGCTTAAGAAGCTAAATTAAGATGCAAGTAAAGAACCTGTTTTCAAAGAGCATTCTAGCTGCTACAAACTGTTTTTAAAATCATAGTCCATTACATGCAAGCCTGGGAAGGAAACCATGTACTTGTGACTGTGGCGCAATATGATTTTAACTGTGTAATAATGAACTCTTGTTTGTTGTCAGTGCTTAAAAGCTGTAGTCCCTGCATAACTGTAAAACAGTACTAAAAAAACCAGACCTGCTTCTTACGATTTTTACAACACCTGCAAATGTTTTATAATAAAACAACCAGGCGATAACTGTAGCAACTGAGTTTTAAAAGCAAGATGCTGAAACTTGGTCTGCAGTTTTAAATGATATGCAGCCCAATCCTATGCAAGTTTACTCAGAAATAAGTCTCATTGATGTCACGGAATACATTCCCAGTTAAACATATGTAAGATTGCAGCCTTGTCCCACTAACAGTCTCCCTCTACAAATGCTAGGGTTCATAGGTATTGTGTTAAATAGAATTTGCACTGGGGGAACACACCTTTAAATTATTGTCAGTAGTTTTCTGCATCAAATAGTTCTAGGACAGTCGGTGTTAATTTGGTATCTTGCACTATATTGGAGCATCGCCGTGTCTAGCTGCTCCTAACCAAAATGGGTATCTGATATTGCTTCTGTTCAAATATACTTGCTGGAGCTTTAAAACTCTCTAATCATGAGGGACAACTATGCCTTGCTAGGGAAAGTACTGACAACACCTAGATTACTGTATCCCACTGGAGGCTTTCAACTAAGCAGCTATTTTTTCAGCTTCTGTATTTCATCACAATTATCCATTATTAAGCATGAATGTACTTATATAAAGTGCTGCATAAACTGTGCGTTCTGCTGTAACTGACACTTTTGGAATTAAATTATTACCTATCAGATGTAATAGTTTTTTATGAAAAACACCTGTACAGTTCCTATTGGATTATGTGTGCCATGTAGAGTATATAAATGGAAATGAATTAAACATATTGGTTTGCATAAACTGTTCTAGAGTTTTACTCCTGTTAGCTCAACAAACTTTGCAGATGTTCTTCTAAAGTTGGAAAACATCAGCAGTAACAAAGTCTGTTCCCCAAAGCACTGCAAACCTGCACCTTGTCAATGGTATACAGTCAAGCCTTTTTGTCCTTCATACATAACCAACATATGAAGGAAAAAAATCAGTCTCACCATTTGCTCGATATCAGTTTGCATGACAAATACACTCAATGATAGAGTAAATTCTTCAATCTGACAGAGAAAGGTTTTACAAAATCTTGGGTAGAGTTTAGTTAATCCACTGCTTCATTACATTCTGAGCAATGCTTTTCATAGGCATAATCCATATTTTTGGGGTAGCAATCCACTTTTGCATTTTGACGTGTCTAAGTCAGGTTTAGACATTATCCCTTGCTGGTCTTTCTCTACAGATTTCTGCCCATCACGGCTCAATTTTATCAAGCTCAGCACCCCTACAACAGTTGTATAAGCATCACTTTTTGGTTCTTTGAGAAGTCCCTCCACATCTAATGTCCTCTGAGGAAGCCACATTGAAAGGACATTATATTCCACAATTAAGGCTAGGATTTTGCCAGTTTTAGAGTTCTCTCAAGTTCTTGAAGCTGTATGTTTCCCTGAGTGATCATCATCCTGATTGTATCCTGTAAAATAAAAGGTATGTTCAGTAGGCACATGCAGGGCACTACTCTATAAGGGTCTATGTTGAGTGGTAAAACACTGACCCTTTGAAGTGCATGATATTTACAATAATGATAATTACAACTGGCATACTTTCTATGTGTCATGGCCCTTATAAGGAAATTACAGAAAAATAGATCTGCCTGGCAGCAGCTCTACATAAGGCACAGTTCCACTTACCACAAAGATAATCCATGTCATAAACAGAGCTACATATTACAGCTCCTGCATTCAACCAAACAGTCCAAAGGCCTTTGCTTAGTCCACTTGGGGACTTTCTGTAAATTAGCAGCATGATGGTACCAACAATTATTTGTAGCCATCATCTGACCAATTTTAGAAGAGGAGGAGATTAGATTTATACCCCGTCCTTCACTACCCAAAGGAGTCTCAGAGCGGCTTACAAACTCCATTCCCTTCCCCTCCCCACAACAGACACCCTGTGAGGTTGGGGGGGCTGAGAGAGCTCTTTTTCAAGAACAGCTGTGCCAGAACTATGGCTTGCCCAAGGTCATCCAGCAGCTACAAGTGGAGGAGTGGGGAATCAAACCCAGTTCTCCCAGATTAGGATCCACACACTTAACCACTACACCAAACTGGCTAGGTGAAGCTTTTTTAGTGATACAGTGCAGTTAGTAGTACTTGTTTTATTGCATCATCTTAACAAATGTTGTTTACGGGCCTATAGGTGACGATTTCTCACCTCTTCTGTAGCACCTTTATTCCTTTTGAATTCTGCCCTTGCCCAGTCTCTCAAGTAATGACGATCAGCTTCATGGGGTACCTGACGAATAGCCTGAAGAATTTTTCTGTATAACTGAAGAACCTGCTGCCTTCTCAAGAACTATAAAACATCAAATGACTATCAGCTCTTACCATAGGTTGCATATTCTATAATACCGATGCAAATATACAAGTGTCTTATACCCAGTCCAGTGTTGTCTGTTGGTTTGGTGTTGTCTACTTTAACTTTCCTTCTTAGAGCTAGAGATTGAGTAGTGGCATTTTGTAGCCGCTGTGGCTCCATTACTGAGCTATTGCTCCACATGCACTACTTGTGATAATCTAAATAACCCCTACAGAAACATCAAATATTAAACTCATGGACGCACAGTCCACCACAGGTATGTGCATATTTCTGGCAAAGGCAGTCGCTTGTACACATGATAAATGCTGCATACATAAACAACTAAGGTTAGGATGGACTAAAACCTGAGCTCAAATGTCCATCCTGAAACTTACTGGGTGACTCTTTCACAATATAATTTACCTCGCAGGGCTGTGTGGATAAATTGTGCAGAATATGTACCCTGCCTGAGCTTTTTGGAAGACAGATAATTACACCCTGGCAACCTCACTACAAATAATAATAAAAAATGGTTCCCGACCCTTCCAACAAACAGCGGAAGAAGTTAATTGCTGTGGATCTCCCCCCCCCCCCCAATGCCTGCCAGTTTAAGAGCACCCCCGTGGCTGTACAGACGGCCACGACGACTGCGGCCTGATCCCCTTGAATGCTGCCAACACCCCGTGAGAACACCGCCAGGGGAAAGGCGGTCCCTCACCGCCGCCGCGGCAAATAATTTAGCCCCACGATTCCTAAACTATCTCCGCCCGCCGTGGCTAGGCCTGCCTGCAGTCTCTCCTCCTCGTTCTCACGAAGAAGGAAGCACCTCGCCGCAGAGGCCGGTTCCAGCAACCTCCCCGAAGTACAGCAGCGCTACATAGCGCGCGGGGCCAAAAAAAAAAAATGAAGGGGAAAAAATGGTGTGTGTGGGGGGGGGGGGGAGGCTGTGTCTGGGCCGCCCCTCCGCTACCTGCTTCAGAGTCAGCGTGGTCGGGGGGAACCGGGACGACGCCATGACAGCCTGAACGCTGGGCGACCTGGCTGGCTACTTCCCTCTCCGTCGTTTAGCTGAGCCTGAGGGCGGCCTTCGCTTGGCGGCGGCTCTTCAGGGCCCCGCCGCTTTCAGCGAGGGAAGGCGCGACAGGGAAGCCGCCGGCCTCCCGCTGTTCAGAGAGGTAAGAAGGACAGAAGGCGGAGGGAGTTTCCCTTTGCTCGCAACTCGGACCGCAGGAGTGAGAATAAGGCGGGAGCAGGGTGTACGCCCCCTCCCCCCCAGCTCCTTTTAGGGAGCGGAATTAAAATGGATTTAATAAACGGGAAAGTTGAACAGCGGGAAGGAGCACTTCCTGAAACTACTGCTGAGCGGATCTAATGACCACAGTGGGATGGCGAGGGTTTTTTTCCTCACAGGAGGCTCCACAATTTAAATCAAAATGTACACGGCAGGAAGGTGGCTAACCGGAGTCACTGGGGGGGATGGGGCTGCCATGGATTCAACAAGCTGCGGAATAAAGCTGAGCTTCACTAATAGCGTTGCCAACCTCCAGGTGGTGGCTAGAGATCTCCCACTGTTTCAGGTGATCTCCAGGCGACAGAAATCAGTTCACCTGAAGAAAATGGCCACTTTTGATGGTGGACTCTATGGCACTGTGACCCACTGAAATCCCTCACTTCCCCAAACACTGCCAGCTCCCAACCCAGAGCTGGCAACCCTACATCATTGATGATTTCCCATACTGCTATTTTCTTCCTCTCCTTTTTCTTTCTTCACCAGGCAGGATGTTTAAAGGTTGTTCTAGAAAACATGAAAGCTCCCAGACTGGGTTTGATCACACTATCAAAAACAAAAGCTATGTAATGCGTTTGGGTTGTTGATCTCCTCTTGCATAGTCCCACAGAGGCAGAACAGCTCAGAGAAAGCAACACATGAGCCATGGTGACAGTGATGAGTATAAGTTCCCAAGGTAATGACAGAAACTTACAAAACTCTTGTACTGTCACTGAATGACTTCTTTTGCTTACGAGGCACTCTGAGGTATGATTCCATGCAGTTTATTCATGAAGTTCACTTTAAACAATCCCACACAGAGACTATTACCTTGCCAAAAGGTGACTAATGCCCAATTCTTTTTTCCACCAAGTTTCCTAGATTTCTGGTACCACACAAGGATGAGCACAACCAGTAGGCCCACTGCGCAAACAAGTTATTTTTACCCCAAAATACATTTAGGAAACTGTTTATTTAGGAAGTTTCTATGATGCCTCTTCACAGTCCTGCTCTCTGTAGCTACCTTGAATCCACATAAAAGTATATCATGCCAAGTGAAAGCTTGTTCCTGAGAAAAGGGTAGTCAGCCTTCAAAAACATACCCAGAAAAAACCCCATGAAGTTCTGTTAAGTAGTGAGGCACTGTTATGGGCTTGGGTGGCAAAAACAGCCTACTCTTAGGCAGAGACACAGAAGGTGATGGGTGCATTCCAGTGAACATGATCACACTCAAAATAACCATAATTTTTCTAGAAATATCACACTGATTCTGAATGCTAGATACTTTAGCAAATAAGCAACACTACCTTGCGAATACACATCTAGGCTTCCTATAACCACCATATAGCATATGGCACCATATAGAATATTGCTACTGTTGTGGTGGCTCAAGTGACTGCAGACCGGAAGGTCTGTAGTTCAGCAGTTCGAGACCTGAGTGCCACAAGATGGAGTGAGCTCCCATCTCTGGTCCCAGCTCCTGCCAACCAAGGAGTTAGAAAGCAAGAATTTGCAAGTAGATAAACAGGTACCATTTTGGTGGGAAGGTAACAGCGTTGGCTCTTCGGCTTGGAAATGGAGATGAGCACCACATCCCTACAGTCGGATTCAACTGGCTTTCGAGCAAGGGAACCTTTACTGCTAAACAGAATTAGACAGTAGAGATACTCTTTGATTCTCACACCATCTTTCTCTAAGCAAATAATGGACAGCCAAAAAAAACTAATTTCAAAAATTAGGCAGTTTTATAATTTGTCTGACACTACTGCACATGAGCAGTAGGCACTTACAGAACTTCCCTGTAGTTCCTCTCCCCCAGCATCTCCATTTGCAGCTGCAATGAGGGAGTTGGACAAGTATGTGAAACAACCCCTCTGTATTTCTTATACTCATGGAACCTCTTGGGCCAGTGTAAGCATCACTGGCAGGAGGAGGAGGAGGAAGGATGCTGCTGCCAAATTTCTCACTGTAGTCTCCCATTCCAGCCCCCCCCCCCCCCCCCTTTTCACAGGTCAAAAGGGGCTGCTGGTGGAGGAGGAAGATCTGCACCCACAAGCCGCTTGTGCTTTGTACAATCCCATCCAACCCAATGTTCTTAATACAGAGCAAAACTGTTTTAGAGTTCTTTTCTGCCCTGATAAAGAATGGACACAATTACAAACCGCAAAACATTTTTATTATTAAACACAAATGATGCATAGTTTTTCCAATGAAAAAAAGGGGCAGGGGGAAATGTCCTGTGCATGATTTAGAATACCAAAATGTTTGTCTAATGTTTGCTTTAGACAGAAAACAAACTTCACAGTGTAAAATGATAATGCAGACATTTTAATATCATAAAAATACCCTTCTGGCATTATCAGACACCAGCAACAACCAGCAACCCACAAACAGTGGAGTGCTCACACATGTTGACCTAAAACAGACATGTATTTTTGTTATGGTTAAAAATCTCTAGTTGCAGATTCATCTCAGAAGTAATGCTAGTTTCTTACTACAATAGAAACAATCTTGGGAATAACGTTTCTCAATGACATGAAAATTTCAAATAAACCTTAGTATAAATTATTTGGATAGCAATGACGGGTAGAAATGGGTTTCCACTGTTTCCAGATAGTGGCAACAAGTAAACTGACTCGTTCCCCTGTTTATCATGGATTGCATAGTTTCCTGCACCGAGTAGGAAGAATGCTAATTTTCAAGGTGTACTTTCTGGCCCATTTAAACAGCAGCTTATTCAGTGATGAATTCAGTCTGATCAGGCAAAACTCTACAGGCTGTCTGAGGTAGCTACCAATTCAAACCACTGCCTGAGTGCATCACTGAGAGTCTCTGGAAGAGCATTCACATCTCTGAGGATTATGTAGAAAGGAAAGGGAAATTCTTCCATGTATGACCTTATTTCCGGCAATTCTCCTGGGCCTTTAAATATAGGTACTTTTATATCCAAGATGGAATCCTGAAAATTAAAGTGACACAGTGATTAGAAGCAGATACTGAGTTACACAAGTACCATAGCTACCACAGTGCATTTCTTCATTACTAAAATTGAGCAGAGACAAAGGAAATTTTTTGTTACACTAATTGAAAATAGGAGCAGTTATCAGAAAATGAGCACAACTTGGCTCATTGCCACAGGGCCTGTAAAACAGAGATGCCCTGTCAAGCATATGGGTGAGGCCAGGAGAATTCCTACTCATATAGTTCTTCCTGCCCCTTCTCCCCCCTTTTTTCTTTCCCTGGGATAGGGATAGTATTATTATACACCATATTTGAACTTGAATCTGTTAAATTTATATGTTTTAACTGTATTTTAAACTATTTATTATATGTTATGATCTGCTCTGAACCCCACAATAGTGGGGGAGAGCAGAATAGAAATCGAGAGAATGAATGGAATGAGTGAGTGAGACGACTGCTAGGAAAGCTAGATGTAGCGCCACAGTCCGAATTCTTTTCTTTCCCCCAACAATTTTCCATTACTAATGCAGTACTAGTGCAGAGAGCTGCCATATGGAGCCCTCCCATATTCAGTGGATTCAGTTTCTAAATGAGTAGACTGTTATACAGGTGTTCAGGTATAAGGATATCAGTGATCTAAAATCTAAGTCAAGGGAAGGACTATAAGAAGGCAACCTTGATGTCATGACTCAGATTATAGTAAAACAAGCAGCAGTATAAAAATAATTCTCCAAGATTTATTGATTGGCTAAAATTACCTCATTCTCTCTAATGTCTGGATGACAACTATTACCAGTAACATTAAAAGAAAACATAAAAACATGGAGGTTTGCAGTTTCTGGAAATCAATACCTGCCTGTTCAGTAATACATAACAAGGGAAGTTAAAAAACTGAAAACACACCTCAAAATCAGAGCCATTGACACAGTATGTACTCTGGAGGATTTTTCATTATTTTACTATTGAACTGGACACCTCTTTAGTTATATAAAATTCTCATGCTACAGCAAGTTATAGACCTTTTTACAACAGGCCATTTCATCCCCATGAAAGGAAATAACATCCCCTTTTTCTCTCACTCACCCTTGAATTGGGGTTGTCCAGCACTACAAAAATGACAAAGATATTTGCATTCTGAACAGACTGGACAGCTGCTGTGACACGTTCCTTGCCCTCAAGAAAAAGACCTCTTCCATCAGATACTATTAAGAGTAGCTGAGCAGTTTCTGTTCCAGAAGAAATACATTCAGTTTTATTAAAACAGGAAAAAAACCCAAAAGCATTTCTGTTGCTATAACATGCAATTAGAATATCTGGAAGAAAACTATGAAAAAGTTGTTTTAGATGTCTAAGATTGCAGCCCTAAAAATAAAATGCAATTTCTGTTTCTTAAAGTAGGCACAAGTTGGAGAATGGAAGATTGGATTAATTTACCACGAAGCTTCCTTTCTCGGTGGTTTAGGAGTGGGACAGTCCTCATGCTGGGGATTGGCTCCTCCTCCTGATGCAGAGTTGGTCTCAATGACTGATCCAGCTGGGGGAGGGGCCTATCCCTCTGGACTGGCCCAGTCTTCTCCAAGCTGTAAGCTCCCCCATTGACCAATATCGCGGGAAACAAAATTCCTCACACACGGAAATGTGTTACTTCTAACTTCCAAGAACTAGACAGTCATGTGCTAAGGGGTAACTTGGATGCTACTGCAGACTGACGCCCCTGTCAGTTATCCATTGGTGAACACTGACCCACTCACTGAACCTTGTTAACTACTTTGAAATTACCTGGAAGCCAGCCCCCCACATGGGAGGGTAGGACTGTCCCACTCCTAGACCACAGAGAAAGGAAGCTTCACAGTAAATGAATACAATCTTCCATTCTCCGGTGGTCCAGGAGTGGGCCAGTCCTCACACTGGGGACATAGAAAAGCAGTGTGTCCCAGGGGTGGGCCATCCGGCCTACAAGGCATGCTGAAGTATTCTACAGCCGAATGCTGCGTCTGTGGAGGCCACCTTGTCTATCCTGTAATGCCTCATAAACGTGTGCACTGACTTCCAGGTAGCTATCTTACAAACCATTTCCAAGGATGAAAAGGTTCTATACGCTGCCGAGGTGGCTGCCCCTCTCACTGAGTGCGCTGTGACTCCCGCAGGAAGTTGCAAGCTCTGTGCCTTATATGCCAAAATTATACAGCCTCTAATCCATGTGCTTAATGTAGAGGATGATACCTGTTAACCCATCAACGACTTTCTGAAGGAAACAAACAATGCCTCTGATTGTCGCCACTGCTTGGTCTTATCTATGTAAAAACTCAAAGCCCTGCGGACATCCAAGCAGTGCCATTCCTTTTCCCTGTTGCGTTTCGGGTTTGGGCAAAAGCATAGTAGTACAATTTGTTCTGATCTATGGAACACTGAGCTCACTTTGGGAATGAATGCCAGGTCTGGAGTTAGGACCACCTTGTCGCTATGGAACACACAGAGCTCCCTGTTAACCGATAAGGCCCTCAACTCTGACACCATACGTGCTGATGTCACCCCAACTGGAAATAAGGTCTTAAAAGATAGTTCTTTTAGTGGACAGGATGCCATGGGTTCAAATGAATGTCTACATAGAGCCTGCAACACTGTATTAAGATTCCAGGTGGGAAACCTGTACACTGGAGGTGGTTTTAGTAAGGTGGTTCCCCTTAAGAAACGTTTTATGTGGGGTGTTGTGACAGCGACTTTCCCTTCTTGGAACCCCTAACTGCTGCTATGGCAGTCACCTGCCTCCTCAACATGCTAGCACTAAGCCCTTTGTCCAACCCATTCTGAAGACAGGTTAACACCTCTCCCACTGAAGCTTTAAGCGGGTTCAGACTATGCCATAGGCACCATGAGTGAAACACCTGCCAAGTGGAGTTGTATATTCTCCAGGCTGTGAGGTTGAGCAGAACCGGGCGTGGCTGTTGGGTTACTCCTTGAGTCAGTAAGTTCTCCCGAAGAAGAAGCCTCCAAGGTTTCTGCACTGATAGTGTGTACCGGTCAGTGTTCCCTCTTAGCTGAGTTAGTGCGAGCTAGCTCACAGTTTTTTAGCCTCCGACTCATAGATTTTTGTCTTAGCTCAGGAAGGATGGCTCCAGAGCAAACTAATTCATGCAGCAGCCAAATCGCTCGCTCACAACTTTAATGCCAGGAGCTCACCAAGTAGAATTTTTGTTCACAGGACTCCACAGCTTAGAGGGAGCCTTGGTACTGGTCCTGGAATCATGCCCTCCTTGGCCAAAATGAGGCAACCAGCACCAACTCTGCTCTTTGCTCCCGCAATTTATGAATCACTCTGTGAATCAGTTGTATTGGTGGGAAGGCATACAGAAGACCCCCCGGCCATTCGCAATTGAAAGCGTCGACTCCCTGCACTTGCGTGTCTCTTGTTCTGGCCATGAACTTCCATACCTGCCTGTTCTGGGCATTAGCAAACAAGTCCAGCTCCAGGCGGCCTGCTGCTCAGGCAGTCTGCCAGAACATTGTCCTTACCCAGCACATGCACTGCTTTTACTGACCGTAGATGAGTTTCTGCCCACTGCACCAGGTCACTTGATTTGTCATGAAGCCTCTAAAACCTTGTCCCTTCTTGTTTGTTGATGTATGCTTTTGCAGTCGTGTTGTCCGTTTGAACCAACACATGTCAGTCTGACAGAACCTCTTTGAATTCCAGGAGACCCAACCTGATGGCCCTGAGTTCCAGGAAATTTATACTCCTCTTCATCTCCTCTGTAGACCAGAGTCCTTGTATCATTCTGCATGATGAGTGCATTCCCCAACCCACCAGACTGGCATCTGTAGTCATTACCACCCTTGTCGGCTCTCTGACTCAAGGTTCCTGGGAGGTGAAGGAGTAGATGACCTTTGTGGGAAATGATATCCTGAAACGGTAGAAGAAATCTCTGTAGAGGTCAGGCGTGTAACCCGGACCACTGGATCACCTCCTGACATGAAACCATCATGCCCAGAAGTTTGGCAGCAACACCAGATCCACCTTGGGTTTTTCTAGTACTTGTGAAAGCAGAGACCTGATTTTCTGTTGTCTCTCTATGGAGAGAAACACTCTGTCTTTCACGGTGTCCACTTGTACTCCCCGGTGCGTCAGAACGAGTTGGAAGTAAATTGCTCTTTCCTGGGTTCACAACAAACTCATGTTCCCTGAGTGTCTGCACTGTCAGATTTGCAGCATCCATACACTGTTGAAATGACGCTACCTTCACCAAGATGTTGTCTTGGTAAGGAAAGAGGGACACTCCCTGCAGGTGGAGGTGGGTGATCAGCACACCTTTGGGGATGATTTTAGGCCGAATGGTAAAGCCCTGTATTGGTAATGATTGTTATTGTATGCAACACGCAGGAACCTGCAATGCATCTCTCTTATGGAGACATGTAAATAGGCCTCTGATAGATCGATGGATGTCATGAACTCCTTTTCCTGAATGACTGCGAGAATGGATTTCAAGGATTCCATCCTGATTTTTTTTGTTTTTACAAATTTGTTTAGCCATTTCAGGTCCAGGATGGCCCTGACATCTCCATTTTTCTTCAGCACTATAAAGAAAACCAATACACTACCTGATTTCTCTGTGAATGTGGGACCCTTTCTATGGCTCTGATCTCCAGGTGTTGGATGGCCCCTTCCAACAACTTGTGCTTCTCTACTAATGTGTTCCATAGAATCTTTAGGGTACGTCAACAGGGAATATGATTGAATTCTATGGTGTAACCCTTGGCCACTGTGTCCAGTACCCACTGGTTGTTCCCCATTTCCTGCCAACGTTGAGCAAATTTTTGTAGACGGCCTCCTATCCCCAAACATTTCTTCCCCTCAGCATAGTCATGCAGTGGCTCCTTTCCTAGTGTTTTTCCCTGGTCATTTTTATTGGGAAAGGATGGCTTGTTGTCTTGAGCTCTGTGTTGCCCCTTCCCTTTGTATGTTCTGGAAAAGTATGGTCTTGACATTTTCTTGGAGTCCCAAAAGGACTGAAACGTCCTTCTAGGCTTTAACTCTTTTTTCTTAGAAGGTAGGACTTTCTTTTTATCTTTGTTCTCTATCAGATATTTGTCTAAGCCATCTCCAAATAGATTAGCATCTTGGAATAGAACTGCCACCACCTTGGCTTGGGCAGAAGAGTCTACATCCCAGTTCCTAAGCCAGTTGTTCCTTCTGGCCGTTACACTGCATGCCATGGCTCTTGCTGATTGCTGAAAGGCATCCAGAATAGCATCAGCTACAAATGCCATTGCCAGGGCAATCTTTTTTAGTTCATCCTTGACTTCCTTTGGAATGGTACTCTCTGTAGAAGCCAAATTGGATGCCCAAGCATAGGCTGCCCGTGAAAATATAGATCCCGCTGTATACGCCCAAAGGGAACAGGAGGAAGCTTCAAAGTCTCTGCGAAGGGTTTGTTCTATATGCCTATCGCAATGATCCCTGGGCAGACTGTCAGCCTTCATTGGAAGCACTGAATTTGAGGTCAGGCTAGTGACTGGGTCATCCACTACCGGTAGCTTGATTCTTTTCGTGGCTTCTGGAACCATGGAGTAGAATTTTGAAAAAACTTGGTGATTAGCCTTAGGCTTTGTGGGATGTTCCCATTCTGGCTTCATAATCCTATAAAAGGCTGCTGGAAGTGATATACCCACTTGTGGTGCAGACACTGCTGGCATCAACTTTTCTGAACCTCCTTGGATCAGGTTCCTCTTTCCCTTTAGGTCTGGAGGAGATTTCCAATGTTCTGAAGACCTTCGGGAGTAAGCGTGAATACAGGTCTTGAAGAAAAAGCCTAGTCTGTATAACGGTTATTTCCTCTACCTCTTCCTCAGAAAGTTCTCCTTCCTCCTTTTCTGACGAGGAAGCAGAGGATTCAGAATCTCCCCAAAGGGTATCCAACAAAGGACTACCTTCTTTGGTTGTGGAGTGTTCATGTCTTCTCTTGCTAGGACTGGAAGGGGAGCCTGAGGTACTTCTGGGTATGTCCCTCTTCTGGTCATGGTTTTTTTTTTTTTTACCTTGCCTGCCCCTATCTAGGTAGACCTTGGATAAATCAGACATGTCTGATTTCCTGTATCATCTCCCTTAGCTCTTTCCTCATCTCCACCTTCAGCCATTGCATTAGGTTGGATTTCACATCTTCCTCAGAAAGGTCCACATTTTGTAATTCCAGGGACTCTTGAGAAGACAGGGATACAGAACATCTGGGTAGCTCAAATTTACTGATCGGACTCTCCTTCATCTGAGAGGCAGATGATCCAGCCATTTTGCAGTACTAGTCAACCTGGGGTGAAAGTAAAAGAATTCCTTTCATGAGGAATGGGTAGACAAAATGGATGCCATTGCTTTCCCACCCTTCCAGACCTAGCACAGTTTCACTTTCAATGTCCCCTCTCCTTACTATGAATGGGGGGGGGGATAGTGTGGAATTCACTTCCCTTTGACTCCTCCAGTACTGCTGGGGGGGGGGGTTTCCTACCACCCCATGTCACCCACGACCCCTTAATATCCTCAGGTGCCCACTGAGGTTCTGCTGGGGTCCACCTGGCCAGTCCTTCTGCAGCTTGTGCTGGGATCTTCGTGGCTGGAAAATACCGTGTGTCTCACTGCTGTCCCGGCCACTTTCGCAGACTCCACCGCTTTCCCAAGTTGGGACAGGGACTCCCCTTCTCTGGGAGTCCCATGGGAGTCTGCGGCAAGCCGCAGCTGCCAGGGTTCTCCCAGTACTGCCGGCTCATCTTCTTCTGCTGCCGCCGAGTCCCTTGGGTGCCTGCTGTAAGCCATGGCAGCCAGGGATCTCCTGGTTTTGCAGGGTCGTTTTTCTGCTGCTGCTGCGGCTCAGAAAGCAGGATCCTGTCCTCTACTGCCAACTGCGGCCCAAGCCTCACTCTGCTTCCTGTCACCGTTTGGATCACTGTGCGTGTGAGAGTTCCGTAGAGCCTGACCTGCTCCTACAGCAAGGCTGGTAAAACTGGGCCAGTCCAGACAGATAGGCCCTTCCCCCAGCTGGATTAGTTGTCGAGACCAATCCTGCATCAGGAGGAGCCAATCCCCAGCGTGAGGACTAGCCCACTCCTAGACCACCAGAGAAATATAACATTGCAGTGACAATCAATACTAATGGATTCTCTAAAAGTGATAGAAGAAATAAAACTCTATCTGGTACTTTGAAGTAATTGATCGAGATCAGCAGTAATTTGGAATACATAAACATGAATGGAAGCACCAAGTATTTAAAATATGCTTCATTATTTTACTGGGAGCTTAAACCAGAGGGATTCAGTTCACTCAATGTAGCAATGGGTCTGCATCCAGAATAGTAAAAACTAATTCTGTGGACATGACAAACACTCACCTGGATTCATGCTCTGAGAAAATTGCTGTGCAGCAGCAAACATATTTGTTGTCGATTCTAAAAACTGCATGAAAAACAAGTACATTATGAATCAAAAACACCAGTCCTAAAAATTATTCTACCAACATTAATTGGAATATAAGTTGAGGACAGCTACTCCAAACTCTTATAATTATTCTTCAGCTATAGAATCTGGTTAATTTGAATGGACTTCAAGCACATATACAGCTTCTTAAAAAGGCCACATCCAGTTTTTACACACAACAGTTTTCAAGATGAAAAGGGAATGTGAGTTTTGTCCTTTGTCAAATGCTATTTGAACCAGTTTGCTTCCTTAGTCTACAACAGTAGCACAGTTTTTTAGAACAGGTTTCTTTCTAGATGATCCCAGTCAAATGAAGGATCACGGTGGCAGTGTGATGATGTTGTGTCATTTACAGAGCTATCCTAAGCATAGTTATACCCTATTAAGCCCACTAACTTCAATTAACTCAGAAGGATGTAACTGTTTAGGATTGTACTGATAATCAAATCTTGTTGGCTATGTTACAGATCCAACTCCGCAGGATGGCAATGTTCTTGCCCTCATTTTGAGGAGGTACCCATCCTGCTTCAGTTTTGTAGAGCCTCCTCTTTTCAAAACTGCTGGTATGGAAATGTTTTCCAGGGGGATGGCAGTAATTTTTTTGCACAGCATACCATGGCATGTTGCATTCTCTAGGGGGGGAAATCGAACTCCTGAGAAATTTGATCCTTTAAGGTACCATTGTCATAGTCATGTGGAGGCTCTCCATCTCTGGTCAGTGGTGACAGGCCACCTTATGGCCCATGATAAAATTCCGGGGGTTTGTGCACACTTCACTGCTAAGTGTCATTCTGCACAGGCCAATGCAGGGAAAGGAACATTCTCCATCAGTGGAGGAAGGTATCCTTGTATGGGTTGTGCCTCTTCCTTGCTGTGAGCAGAACATATGCAAATTATTTGCAAAGGCTTCCACTGTCCCAAGGAAGCACTAACTTCCCAGTCTGTGCCCTGCCCACTCTGTGGGTGGTCCAGCTTCCATAGCTCTCCTACCTCACTTATTAAAAACATAGACAAAAATACCTTTAAAAAATCTCCAGCCTCTGCCTCTTGCTCACAAGTGGCAGTGGTGTAAAGTATATGAAATAATCTCAGATGGAACAATTCCCACAGGACGCTACAAGAGTTGAGCTGCCACCAGAGGGTGACCTTGGCCACTCCTTACTCTGCGATCCCGGCACTAATCTCTGCAACACGGGTGCCTGTTCTTCAGCTGCCACTCTCCTTTCCCCTGCCCCAGCACAGATAGGGAGTGGGCACCCGGCCCTCTCCCATGCCAAAGTACTGGCAGTGGATGGGCCCATCCATGGAGCCACCTGCAGCTCTTCAGAGCCAGCGCCTTTCACCCTGTCAACTACTCAAGTCCAGGAGGCCCCTGCAAACACTGCCATTGAAAGGTGCTCCCCTCATTTTCTTTGCTGCAGGAAGGGACTCCCAAGGCAAGCACAGGAGGGAGCAGAAAAGATAACTTTATCTGCTATTGGAAGGGACTCTCCTTTTCTCTTTCTCCCCCATTATTCTCACTAGGGCTTTGCTCACCCAGGCCTCTCCATCCATTATGACTCATGAAGGATGGCAAGTGCAATTTGAGTGGGAAAGATGTAAAGAAAAAAACAAATCAAATTAGCAATGCCACAGACCTATGAAGATTCCTCTTTCTCCCCCCCCCCCCCCAAGAGGGGGCATCTCACAGCCCCAGCAGAAGAGCTTGGTTCTTATTCCCTGGAGCTCGGAACTACTCAGCCATTCTAACTCTTCTTCTTCTTGGCCAGTAGACCATGAAGCTGGCACTCACTCCACCCTTGGTCTCCAGAGCTCCACACTCTGGCCATTCTGAGTCACTGCACTCCAACTCTGCTCCAGACTAGGGGTGTGCATTTGGTTTATACTGAGCTGAATAAATACCTGAAAGATACCTTATTGGTATTTTCCGAGCATTTATTCAGCTGAATCAGATCCTCAAATCACAAACCCTGGCTTTTATTCCGGATGCACCCACCAAGTCATGAGCACATTTAAAGAGACGGTCTCTTTAAATGTGGTCCCCGAGTTGTACCGCCATGACCCTTTAAATGCATTTAAAGAGATAGTCTTTAAGACTTTAAAGGTGGTGGAGGAGAGCTTCATAGGGGTGGCCCCTGGCCTGTCAAGACAGGTGGGGCTTCAGGGAGAAGGAGCTGAAGAGAGGAAAGGGGGTACAGGGAATTTTTGGGTGGTTGCAGGGGTCATGCTGGCTGGCTGACCCTTGGATGTTGTAGAGGAAGGCCAGGAGGTGGGAGCAGTGAAAGACTGGGGGTTCCAGCACCCTGGGAAGATGTCTTTTCAAGGGGGAGAAGGTGAAAAGGGGGTGCTTAATTGCACCAGCAGTGAAGGGGGTGCTGGGAAGTGGAGCCCTGGATGTTGGAAAGGGGGCCCAGGGGCATGTTTTGGATATTCAGTCGGGACCTCAGCACTCCAGCAAGGTAGGGTTTGATGCAGGGGAAGGAAGTGGTCAGCAAAGAAAAGGGGGTATGGGTGATTTTTTTTGGTGGTTGCAGGGATTATGCCAGTTGGCTGACCCTTGGACATTGTAGAGGAAGGCCAGGAGGTGGGAGGAGTGAAAGAACAGGGGCTTCAGCACTGCGGTAAGGTGTCATTTCAAGGAGGAGAAGGCAAAAAAATGACTCGGCGAGTGCATTTAAACAGACCGTACTGAATAAATTTGGCAATCCCGATTATTTCTTGAATCCCAATACAATAGTGATATTTTTTGGGTTTGGTATACTCAAACTTGAAAAATACTTTGTGTGTGTGTGTGCGCGCGCACACCTCTACTTCAGACTACATGGCTTCAGTTTAGGAAGAGAGGGAATGATTAGGGGAATGTATTGCTTCTTCTGGCCCAGCCTCTACCAGCTTTCTTTATCAGGAGGATCTACTCCTTTCTGGGGAAGACCATTCTGGCCTAAGGATCTGCAGGACTAACCTCTCACCAACTGGCTCCAACACCTCATATTCTGCTGCCACTGTCCTCTCCCCTGCCAACGTACTGGCAGGGATGGGGAGTGGACAGCCAGGCTTTTCCCACTCCCAAGCCCTGGTGGCAGACAGGCCCATCTACAGAACTGCCTGCTGCTAAGTTCAAGCTGGCACCTCATATCCCATCAACTCTACATGTCCAGGAGGCCTTGGTAAGCATCTGATAGTCCTGTAGATTCTTCTAGGGTAAGCCTGATTGCCATCTTGTTTCAGGTGTGATTCCTCCAAATAAAAGGAGACAACCCCATTAAAGAGCCCATGAGGGTTGGGGATCTTGCCCTCTGAGCATCTATACTCAGTGACAAGAGATCTCTTTAGGTCTTAGCTTCTGACCTATTCAGGCACCAACAGGAGCTCCTTAAGGTCAACAGAGCCTTTGGATTTTTTGGAGATATAGTACGAGATGAGGCCCTGGTAAAAATCAAGGGAAAGGAGAAGTCAATGCCCTCTTCTTCCAAACAAGACAGGAAAAGATCCAGCAGATCAGATCAAACTTCCTTTCAGTATCTAGGGTATCTTTCCGGCAAAGAGCTTCCTGACTCCCCTAGTCAGCCTGGAAGAAATCCTGATTCACCCCCAAAGCCAACTTCCCATATAAGGGCTCCTTGGTGCACCAAATGATCTGGCTAGGTACGTTCTAGACCTCCTTCATTCCCTCCTTTCTCCCTAGGATCCTAAAGGCCAGGATGACAACAGCAAGACTCCAAGCCACCACATACCTGTGGAAGAACCAAGCCATGGTCCACTTCTGAAGGTGGAACATTTTCTGGAATCTTGCCAATCCCATTCATCATTGTGATGATTCCTTGTTTGAGAGAGTGTGTGTCCCTTTAAATGCTTGATAGTAACTAGTGTGCTGTGATTGGTGGATGGCAGAGTGTGGGAGGAGTTATTCTGTGTGGATCTGTGTGGGTGTGTCAGTGAGAGATTGGAGAATGACAGTTGGAAAAAAAGCAGTTGAGGTTCAGTTGGATTTCAGTCAGTGAGAGCTCTGACAGTGCTGTGTGGTGTCAGAGAGAGCGAGAGAGCTGAAAGTTCTGTGTGGAATCAGTTCTATGTGAAGTCAGTGTTGTGTGGTATCAGAGAGAAAGAAAGCAGTATATATCTGTAAAGTGAAACTACAGTTCTTAAAGAGAGTTAAAGTTACAAAGAGAATAGCCTGTGTGATACAGTTGACATACATACTTACAAATACCTATTTCCTAAACAGTTACAGTTTAAACAACCTCTTAATTTGTTCTTTCAATAAATCCTTTTTATTTAAGTTTATCCCAGAAGCCTGATCCATTATTCCTCAGGACCACATAGATCCTCGAAAGACCCTGGGTCAAAATACCAAAACCAGAAGCAGAGAGGGGATTTGGAATTTAAAGAAAATTCCTGGTGGCAGCTGGAACTACCTATTTTATAAACATAAAGTATAATTTAAAGTGAAATCTAGTCCTTCCCAATAGGTCATCACAATCATGCCCAATAAAAATGGTACTTGGAGTCCATCCAACTCATAATGGAGTTCCTTCTGGCATGGGATTTCTTGGCCTCTACAGATTTGCAGGAGGCCTGTCCACAGATTCACATGCACCCAAGCTCCAGACAGTGTCCTTGCTTGCATACTGCCACCAACACTTTTGTTACAGAGCCCCTCTATTTGGCCCCCACCCAAGTCTTCACCCAGCTGGTGGTTTCAGCAGAGGCCATCTCAAGTCATGAAGTGTATACTTTCAGATCATATGCAGATGACCTTATATGCAGGCCACCACACATATTACAGGACCTCTGGGGCATCCAATCACCCTACAGGTCCTCCACACACACAGGTTCCTAGTTTCACCAGAAAGTCACCCTCATTCACAGGCCATCATCCATCTGGGGATGTTGACTGATTCTGCTGATTCTCTATTGCCCTCCAAGGAAAATGTCACTTCAGTCTCAGGGCACCATAGCTCTCCTCGGACACGTGATGTCTGAAGATCTGATGACCCTGATGCAAGTACTGGGTATCATGATCTCCTGCCCAGCAATTGTGCCATGGTTCCAATTACATTCCTGTCCCTTTTAATGGCTCTAGTTGCCTTTTCATGGGACATCCTTCAATGTCATTGGCGGGAACATAACTATTATTCCCAATGTGTGCTGCTCCTTAAGTTGGTGACTCCAGGACTCCCATCTGCTGGGAGGTACCCTAAAACCTTTCAAACCACCATGGATGCCAGTCTGCTCATTGTATGCTACCATCATTTAGTCACCCAAAGAAAGTGGCAGAACATAGAAATAAGGCAAAGGATCTAGTAGTTGAAGCAGAGAGTGATTATCGCTTATACTGCTCTCTTTCCAGCTCTTGATAACAGACTCTCATGCCCTCATCCTCACCAGTAACAGATGGTAAACACCATGTCACCCATGAGAGAGCTCTGAGATCACTCCCCGGCAGAAAGCAACTCCCTATGTCCTCCCTACATCTCAGCTCATAGTCAGGGAGTTCGTCAGAATACAAGAGAAACAACAAAGGACATCTTTGTTGTAATCCCCCTGGCCAAACAGACCCCAGTCCTCCAAACTAGTGGCAATGACACAGCAACCACTGTGGATCTTCTCAATGGATGACAACATCATTCCATAGGATCCCCTGTTCCATCCTGCTCTGGGCTGGGCTTCGCCTCTTCACATGGAAAATGAAAGGATGACACTGCAATGACACGGCTAGCCAGAACAGGTATCCAGGCCATCTTAGCTCTGTTTTTATTATTATTATGCCCTAGCCAAAGCTAGGACATTTTATTATTTTCAGAAAGGCCATCTTAGCTCTTGACCCAAGAAATCTACTGAGCCATTTGGGTGATTTTCCACTGGTAGAGTTGTGGAATGAATACCAGAACATATACTGTAGGCGTATAGAGGTTCTCTACTACCTCCATGATAGAATACATTAGAACCATTTCTCTGGCACCAGGCAGTGACCCTTCATGGGTTCCCTCCTGACATGGAATAGCCACCTGCTAGAGACAGTCAGTTACAGCCTCCCAAAGAGAAGCAGCCCTAGCCAGTCCGCACGCTCAGAATGGTTTTCTTTTGTGGAATCTCCAAAAGGCATTGAGAGTCCCACTCAAACCTCTCTTGAGCCCTTGAGATCTGCTACACTGACAATTCAGCCATTCAAAGTAGCTTCTCATGCCCTCAACTTCAGCAGGGAGGGCTTCAGAGCTATCTTTCATTTGGCTTAGAGGCGAACTTGCTCCCTTCAGGAGGATTGCGTGATCTTACACACAACCCCCCTTTCTTGCCATCTGTTATCTCTTTGTTCCACACGGACCATGACATCTGTCTGTCTTCAATCTGCAGTAGTCCCAGCCATCCTATAGAATAGGTCTAGGATACAGTAGAGGCTTGGGAAACTCCCCATGTCTACCTGAGAGGATAACAGTCTTCATATTGCTGGATTCCTTTTGATCACATTCTTACCCAACAACGGGAAAGACTGTATTATTGTAAAACCTAACCAAATACATCAGAGTGTCAGTCAACATCTCTCACCAACCTCAGAGGTTACTGCCTTTTTTACTAGAGTTACCACTGCATGTGCAACCCATACACAACCCTCTCCACCAATGTATCCTTTGCATGCATAGCTAGGATACTGACTTCGGCTTCAGCCTCTACTTTGGTGAGGCACTACCAATTGCCCTGGCTGTGGCTACTTTAGACGGAAATCTTCTAGTTCCTTCATTGCTCTCCTTTCAGCTCCCCCTCCAGGATAACAGAGCTTTTCAATATCCCATACAAGGATACCTTCCTCCACTGATGGAGAACAAAACATTGGACTTACTGTGAAGGTTTCATCTCATCAGTGGACTGGAAGGTATCCTTCCCTGCCCTAGCTGGCAGAGGAGAAATTGAAAAGGAACTCCCTAAATCAAAATGTACACTTAGTTTTTTTGTCACCTATTTTTCTGCCTTGCAGCATCGCCACTTACAGGTCTTCAAGGAGAATTCTCTCTTATGTGATTGTGACACAAGAGGTGGATCTGTCACCATCAGAGGCTTGGCAAGACATGAACAGAGGAGGTGGATTGCCTCCTCAGGACGGTGGAAGCCTTTGCAAAAAATCTGCATGTGACCTGCCCATGATGCATGGAGGAGGCACAACCCATACAAGGATATCTTCTAGTTCACTGATGAGGAGAAACATTCACAGTAAGTCTAAGTCTAATGTTTCATTTTCTTTTTGTGATATTATAAGGTTAAAACTGTCCAAATAAAATTTGGATGACTGAGGTGAAGAAAACAAAGCTGCACTTACCTGTTTGTAACTATTATTCATTGAGTATCTTCTGTGCAGGCACACATGGGGACTGTGCCTGAGCAGGCCTGCCATTGGATAGGTCTTTACAGCTAAAAGCCTCTAGGGGGTGCTACATGCTGGAGCCAGAAGCTTGTTCCTGCCCAGGGATCACATGCTGCTGCACAGCAGCGCCCCCTACCCTCAGTACCTCTAGGACAGCCGATGCCAGAGCATGCAGGAGGGCAGGAGGGAGGGTATGTGTGCCTGCACAGAAGACTGAAGATGAGCTAGCTTTAAAGCAGCCTTATTTCTACCCAGCATGAGCTCTGGTATGACAGCTATTTTATAAGTCAGAAAGATCTCTTCAAAATATTAATGTTTACACATGTACAACATATACACAACCTTTCTAAATTGCAGCCCATTTCTATCCATCACTCCCTCCCACTACTGATAGTTGATGCTATAATATGAAGTATTAAAAGGTACTAGGACATACCTGTGCTATCTTAGTTTTCTTTTGTTCAAATTTGCAAAGTCGTAATATCCGAGTTCCTGATTGGTCATTAAATTGCTCATGGAATGGATGCAGTAACTGAACTGTTTCTCCAAAACTGAAATAAAATGAAAAATGCATTTTAAAATTGGGCACTATATGCAAGAGACAAACTAGTATTAATTATTCTTCAAATAAGCTTAAAAGTATCCTTACCTACACATAGCTATCTGTCCCACTTCTAAGAGGGTCAATGCATTTCCAATTACTGCCAGGGATTCATAAGCAAGCTGTGAAAAACAAGGTTAAGTTACATATCTGTAGCACTTGCAACAGATTTAACCAGCTGTACCATTCTAAAATCGTGTACATTCAGGAAACCTTTCCTTATATATTGTGATATTTGTTAGATACTACCATAAAGCTATCATAAGGAGCTAGAAGACAAAATAATATACCCAGCCTGTATGATTTGCTTGTAGGCATTTTGCCCATGCAAATATCTAAGTAATAAACTACCCCCATGCTGCAGGGACAGAACTACACTATGGCCAGGACACAGTGGTATGTTAAGCCTAATCCACACCGCTTGTCCTGGAACGAGATAGCAGCTAAGGGCTCATTAATGAAAAAGTAGGAGGAACAAGAGGCCTGTATCCACTCAATCTGTGCATAGAAAGTGGAGTTTTCCTGTGTTGGACTCTGTTCTCGCAGTCCCTTCCAAAAGATCATTCTCATCACTGCAGGACCTGCATGGGTTGGGGGGCTGGACTGAGGAAGGATAGGAGGATGAAACTGCTCCTCCTCCTCCTTCTGCAAGTACAACATCACTGAGGAAAGGGGTCACTTTAATAATTTCATTCCCTTGTCCCTCCTCACTCCAGCCCACTGACCTGTATCTCTTTTGGGATTCTATGACCCAAGGACTGAACTTTCTGGAGGTCAGCAGCAGACACATGAAAAGCTCTGTATGTTTTCCATGCATGGATGGTTGGATACAAGCCAGAGCCAGCAAACAGAGCAGGAAGTGAGAATAATCACGATCCTTATTTTGATGTCACACCCAGAGCACAGCTGGAAGTGTATACAGCAACCTCGCTGAAAATAAGCATGTCTGGATCCAAATGGGAGACCTTCTAGGAGGTCTTTGTATACCACTTTGAGTTCCATGGAAGAAAGGCATGACATAAACAAAACACCTGACAGATGATATAGTAAACATACGTATATTTATGAATTCAGAGCCTAAGAAGCTTCATTTATCTTTACCTGTTTAGAGTGGTTATCTATCATGCTGGCCGAATCATCAAGGGCCAAGCAAATCTGATACTGTCGTTTGCTGGGCTTCGTCCTTCGTAACCAAATTTTATCCTTTCGGAACTGGCTGGCAATATAGGGAATTACTTTGCGCATGTTCAGTCTTTTTCCTGTCCTATAATCGCCTCTGGTAGTGAGAAAGAAAATGCAAGATATTAGAAGTAAACATATTTCAGGGGAAGTTTGGCAGAATACCCACCTGAATCATATTTACATAACTATATAGTTTCCCTGACAATTAGACTGAAATATTGTCGGAGATGACAGTTTTAAATCTCTCCTAAAGTGAAGGAAACACTGTGTCAGACATTGAAAACCTAGCTCTCAGAGCAATGCCAGTTGCCAAACTAACTTAATTTTAGTATGCACAATTTATTCTGGATTTGCTCATCATGGGATGGGTTATGCCAAGGACTTAGTTATTAACAATCTTATTCAGCCACGTCTCTATGCCAAGGACTTCCTATCCTCAGTTATTAACAATCTTATTCAGCCACGTCTTTGGCATCTTTCAAGCATAAAAATCATAAGAATCTTGCTTAAAAATGTTTTCTACACATGTGCAAAATTTGCAGCCCAAAGCTTTACAGACGAACACACTAGCATTTAATGGTTATCACTGCTGCTGAAAAGGATCAAAAGGTGTAATTTATACTTCTTTACCCAGGACTTGTCAATAGAATGCTTGAACTGGACTGGGATATAGAGTTAAGTCTGAGCACAGGTATAGACTTACAGCCTATATACACACAATGCTCTTAAGCCTTTTAAAGCAATAGTTCAGACACTGGAGCATTAATGTACACCAACCCTTACTTGTCTTGAGAAATTATTCTTTTATATGTTTAGCTCCCCATCTGTAAAAGGGAAATAGTACAGCCTTGTGTCATAATGCCCTGAAATCAAGATGTAAAGTACTAACTCTGAAAATGCTGTGCATACTATGTAGGTACATTACTACACACAAACACAGAGTGTAAAAGGAAATCCAGATAAAATTGAGATATTTGCCAAATATGAGTAAGCAACCTTTGGCTGTGAAGGATGCTTTTGGGAAATCAGAGCTAGCGGGCTCTGATTTAGACAGACCAGACTTACTTCAGCTTGGCTGCCTGAGTTGGCTCCAGTATGAGTCGGAGCTGCTCACAGAGCTGCTGTGAAAGGGCTGTAGTGAGTAGAAGATATCTTTGCCACATCTCTGCTGCTGCCTTCTCCTGAAATAGTGACACACAAGACAAAGTCCATAACAACCATTAGTTAGCTGTTACCCCTTGAAGGAGGAAGAACACAGCCATGGAGCGGAGTGAAAAGTTTATAAAAATGCAATTCCTTTAGATGAAATCACCGGGGCTTCCCCCAGAGTTATTTGGGCTCAGCCTTCCCCATTTGGTGGAAAACCCCAAATTTAATCAGATAGAGTGTGAACCACGGTAATGGAGAAAACATGACATTGGTAGGAAAGCAGGATGCTGTTGTTGCCATTCAGCCTCCATTCAGTCACTTTATGGCTCAGGGATTCTAACCCACCCCCCATCAGAATGGAAAAATGAACAAGGAATAGTAAGGGACTGTTACAAAAACTGGTATCCTAAGAGGTTTATTGGAAGTGATGGTGGAACCCTGTTGCCTGTTCCTGAGACAGGATTGGTCTGGGTAGCTCTGAGAAAGCTGTGCCATCGGTATCTTTTAGCTTAAAAACCATGCCTGTGACCAAGAGGAGGTACTGTCTGAAACTAAAGACTGCCTAGCTTTGGAATTTTTGAAGAAAGTAGGATATATACAGTTGTAAATATGCTAATCTGATGTTTTTATAAAAATTCTAAACCCTTGATCTTGCCTCAACATTATGTGAAATAATGAAAACCATTTCCTATGGACCTTTACAATTACAAGATGTCACCAACATGTTGCCCAGAATGTTAATGTTAAAATGTTTTAAATGATTTAATGTTAACATGTTTCAATGTTTTCATGTTCACCACCTTGGGAACCCTAAAAAGGTGGAAAGGTGACATACAAGTATTTTAAATAGAATAAATAAAGCAAGACTTGAATCTTCCATAATGTAACAATGCATAATCTTGATAAAACAATTTACCAACCTCATCAGTGTTTCCAGCCTGCCAAATTTCCAGCTGCTTTTCTAGTTCTTGTCGAAGCTCCTCAGGATTCTTAACAATGTGCTTAAATAGAAGACATTAAGATTGGAGTCACCAGCATGGAAGAGGTTCTTTTTTCCTCTTCTTACTGCAGTAACCAACCTACAACAACATACCTCCAAAAGCACAATTTATTTTCTCTGTTTTAAAATTAGGGAAATATTTAATCTAACAGAAAGAATGTTAAATGTTCTTTTTTCTGAGCAGAACCCATCTATTACATTTGGAAAGTATGACTATACACTGCAGTTAATACTTCACACACTATTATCAAATTGAGCTTTGAATTCTGTTTTCAGATCTCATTTGTAGTAAAAACAGTTACTGGATTCAAAACAAAATACATATCCTGCACCTGTGAGTATATTCATAAATAGAAAGCCTGCAATATCTAGTGGTTTTTTTTTACTCCTATAATGCCTTGAAGTAGGTGAAAGTAGAATGATTCCTATTTGTGTAATAACACAACTAAGTAATATTTTACCTTCATTTTGGTGTTCATTATAAATTGGTGGGCAGTATGTATAGTGGAGTCTTTGTTTCTGTCTGGCCTCGCTTCCGACAGGGGTTTTTCTGTTCCACATTCTTTGTCACCCTTAGAATTGAGCTCTTCAGCTTCCAGTTCTGTCTCCTTAGATCCTGCATTCAAGACATAAACTCTTGCTTAAAACTGCACACATACATCCTATTATATTATCTAGACTTAAAACTTTAAGAATCACAACAGAAAGGTTTTGAATGCAATCAAGATTTTTTTCTCTGAAGGATAAAATGCTTAAGATCGGAAGCTGACAGTTTTTACCAGATTTGGAAGCACCAGACATCTTCACTTCTGGATTCAGCTTCTCTGTTTCTACAGTGCTAAGATCCTCAGCATTTTGACCATCTGCTTCCATGGCTGCATCTTCTGAAACTGGTTCTTTGTCATCTTCACTGAGAGGCATGACCAATTCTTGTTGTTCTTCATTAGCTACATCTGTTAGGAACATTTAAAGAACAATTTAAAACTCTGCAATATGTCCCATACCAGTACAAGGGAAAAATAACACAAAAGGTTAACAAGTATCCAAAGCTTATTACACTCTTTATAGAAAGCAATTCAGACTGCAGAGATGATTGAATAGTTAGTCTAGGGCAGTGTTCAAAGCACATATAGAAGATTGTTGCAAGAATACAATGTGAGGAAGGTCAGCATTACTCCATGTTGCATGTAAGAGGGTGAGCCTGATAGAATGGCTTGCCTAAGGCCAAGTAATGAGTTTCTGGTCAGAAGGTGAGACTCAGACTGGGAACTTCTTGATTACCTGCTTAGGCTCTTAGCCTACACCAACTTTGTATGAGATGAGCTTAATGAAATGACTATCTCAATAAACCCCTACAGATGACCCCAATTCCTAGGGAACAGCCAAGTGAAGAAGAGGACTTTACCACTCAAAGTGCATGAATGTGCATGGTAGAAACACATGTTTAGTCAAGTTCCAGAGATACATCCTGGTAAAAATGTATGTCTTTGACAGAAATCCAAATTGACCACAAAATGTTTCTACTATAGCCAGAGCCCTAAGGTGCCTTCATTGCCAAGATTTTATGGAAAAGCAAACTGGCTGCTATTTCAAACCAGAACACTATTGAACTGGGGACTATGAAGCGGTATTATCCCCAATGTACTGTACACTATGAGACCATATACCGCAGAGCGGCCTGTAAACTATCATGAAAACAGTAAGTATTTTATCACTAAACAGTACAGAATTACAAGATGAGCAAATACAAACACTTTCAAAATGAAAAAGGAGCATAAACAATATTAAAGATTTAATTTATCTGATATTATCAAGGCATGCAAATCTGAATTAATGCCATTGCTCTGACAGCAGAACCAAGACAAGCTCACTTTCACAGAAGTGGAAGTCAAAGTCCAGAAGACGGGGGGGGGGGGGGAGAGGTGGGGGTTTTTTTATATTAAAAGCTAGGCTTTGAAGTGCTTGGAGGACTTCCTCCTTTCTGAGTGCCTCCAAAGCTTTGTGCAAATGAAGGGAGAGAAGGTGATTGAACAACAGAGCTAGAGAGGATATAAAATGTGACGTATTATAAATGCTGCCATACCATAGGTCTGTGCATCATAGGATTCAGTGCCTTGTTTTATATGCTCGAAAGCATCAGCTTCTTCAACCTTTTGTTCAAGCAGATTTGGGTTCTGTTCTGCTTCACTGCTAGACTCCATCATCCTTAATCTCTTATGGACACGTTGACTGTGATCCCCTGTTGAGCGTTCATTGTCAGCCTGTCCAGGTTTTCTCTTAAAACTCTGAAAAATGGGTAAAATGCAGCCACATAGTTTTGCTAGGTTTCAGTCAAACAGACTCAAAGTTTCAGGACTTCCACAGCCTTCCATCATTAACCGCAGAAATCAAATCTCTACCCAGGAGGGTTCCCCTGACAGTGGAAACACCTTACTAAAATTTGGAAAATCTAGCACGTTCCCATATGCACAAGTGGAATGTTAAATATGCTGTTTTAGATAATATTAACTCTACCCGTGCCAGTCGTCTATGAGCAGAGGAACTGCCTTTAAATCAAGCACCTGGTCCATCTGGGGTATTCCACATGGAGATGTGAAACAGCATTCCCTGCTGTGCAGCAGCGAGTGGGGTGGAAGTAGGTGGGGACAGCCTCTAAATCGCTCCATCTTCATACTGCTCACTGCTGCTCCCATCCCGCCCAATCCTACCCCTCCTCCTTGCAGAACAGCTGAATTAACAACAATTGCATATCCAGTCCCCACCAGGCAACTTCCCCTTTCCTGCTTCATAGCTGACAATCAGCTCTTATTCCATCAGAGAAAGAGTTTCTTTACTGCTATATGCTGCTCAGAATACTATTGCATTGAGCTGGAAGTCTCGCAAATCTCCTACTCTTACACAATGGCTCCAAATGATATGGAATCTGTATATCATGGCAAAATAAAAAGAAAATTTAACATGTATTTCTCAGCCTTCTATGCACTCTACCTTCTCCACGATTTGGTTACCCATACTTGAATATCTCACATCTAAGCATGAAATTCCCCAAATGGTTGTTGACCTAGGCTTATCCATGCGCAGGGCTGGAGAGACATGCACAGATCAGGCGTCTCAATGCATGGATGAGACGATAGTGATGGGGGGAAGGGTTCAAGTTTGTTAGGCACTGGGATGCTCTTTGGAACAAGAGGGAGCTGTACAAAAGAGACGGTCTCCACTTGTCCCGAGAAGGAACCAGGCTGCTGGCACTTACAATCAAAAAGGTGGCAAAGCAGTTTTTAAACTGAATATTGGGGGAAAGCCGACAGGAGATGAAAAGTCTCTGGTTCGGGATGGCTCATCTCAAAGAGATGAAGGGGTAGCTGTTACTTTTCTACAAGGAAATGGATTAGAATTGTCCACTGAGACTGTGGCTAATTATATGGGCTGCCTGGCAAGATCTCAAGGCATCAGGAGGAAGGTTGCAGGCTTAACATGCATGGGAAATTATAGATGTTTATATACAAATGCTAGAAGTTTCCAAGGTAAAATCGGGGAGTTGGAATGCTTGGTGTTGGGAGAAAAAATAGACATTGTGGGTATTTTAGAAACTTGGTGGGATGAGGAAAATCAGTGGGATACGGTGATTCCTGGTTATAAATTATATAGGAAGGATGGGGGGAAGGGTTGGAGGTGAGGTGGCTCTGTATGTCAGAGAGGGTATACAGTCCAGTAAGACTGAGAGGGTAAGTGAATTGGATTTGCTTGTGGAAATGCTATGGGTTGAAATAGTGGGCCTAAAAGGAAGCGTAACACTAGGAGTTTGTTATCGCCCACCAGATCAAAAGATAGAGGAGGATTATAAAATGATGAATGAATTAAAGATAGAGGCTAGACAAAATCACTGTGCTGTAATACATGAATTTAACTACCCACACATTGATTGGGTCAATATGTGTTCAAGTTGGGGAAAAGAGATTGAGTTTCTAGACACTCTCAAAGACTGTGCTATGGAGCAGATGGTCACAGAACCTACCAGGGGAGTGGCAATCCTGGATTTGGTCCTAAGTAACGCCCAAGACCTGGTGAGAGATGTAAAAGTGATTGCACCGCTTGGGAACAGTGACCATAATATTATTGAGTTCAACATTTGTAAAATAGGGAGTTGCCCAAAAAA